TAGATAGATAGATAGATAGATAGATAGATAGATAGATAGATAGATAGATAGATAGATAGATAGATAGATAGATAGATAGATAGATAGATAGATAGATAGATAGATAGATAGATAGATAGATAGATGATAGATAGATAGATAGATAGATAGATAGATAGATAGATAGATAGATAGATAGATAGATAGATAGATAGATAGATAGATAGATGATAGATAGATAGATGATAGATAGATAGATGATAGATAGATAGATAGATAGATAGATAGATAGATAGATAGATAGATAGATGATAGATAGATAGATAGATAGATAGATGATAGAGAAAAAAAAGATTACCGCACCTCAATATAAGCCACATCGGGCTAAAAGCCGCAGATATCTACACGAGTATTGTTTTAGGGTCACATGAACACACAAGTATTCAGACAGAGTTTTAATGAAATACCGTAAATCCTCTAATATTGGCCTGTATTCAATTAACGGCCAGGTATCACATTTTGGCCGGTGTCGGAGTCGGCGGAGGTGAATAATGGCCGTCATTTTTTTTATTGTGGCCGGGTGGAATGTGGTAACAGGCAAGTACCACAGGGGGCAGTTGTGTCACCCATCTCACTTTTGATTTGCCAGTGATAGACTGCGAGGGTAACTTTAACCAGGGCGGGTGCGGAGCCAAAGAGGAGACGAAAATTTGATATCAAGTTCAAAGAGAACGTGCTGATGTATGCTGCAGAACACTCCGGGGGGCAAGCTGCTAAACGTTTTAACATCAATCCATCAAACTGGATGAGGATTAAACTGAATTGGATTACCAGTATTTTATTTTTTTCTTGAAACTGGACAAAGATTGAATTGAATTTGAGGGTTTTAATTTTATTTTTTACTACAACCCAAATGAGATGAAACGATTCAACTTTGAAGCGGTAAGGTGGCTGTTGCCTTTTCTAATACCGGTATTTAATAACGTTTAAAATGCAGTACAGGAATGTTTGCTATTGTTTTGTTACAATACAGTATTTCCCTACTGTAATTTAGCCTTGTTGTTAATGTTTTATATGCAAACCGTACCACGTTTTGGTAACTGTACATTTTCAAGAAATGAAGCTAGTATTTCATAGGTTCAAATAGACACACCCTGTTTTTATTCATTCTACTGGTAGTTTGTTTTGCTCAAATAGAAATTGAGGCCTGCCTCTAATTCAGGCCTTCCTTCCAGTAAAGGCCTGGAGCTTGTTGAGCTTGAGTAAAATACAGGCCCAGGCCTGTATTAGAGGATTTACGGTATGAAGCCCATTGTTTTTATTCCTAGTTTTGTTTCATCTTGGAAGTTCTGAAGGTTCTGATCCTTTAGTGAACGATCCGAGATGGATTGAGATTTCACCTTATCTCTCTGCACGTCTTCCAGTCTGGTTGGAGATAAAGTCCATCATCAGACTAATGGACGGATGGGGACACAGTGGCGTCTTCTTATCAGCTGCAGCCTCTGGTCTTTAGAGTCTGAGACAGACAGACAGAAGAGATCGGCTTCATTATGGAAATCTGGGAAATCTGCCCTTCATCTATGCGAGAAAACTGGATCAGCAGCTGGAGAGTTCAGAGGGTTTGGGTTCAGGTCCATCTGTCCTGTCTGTCTCACAGCATTTATAACTAGAATAATGCTAGAATATAAAAGTTCTCCAGGTCTAACAGACATCAGGCCCATTTTCATCCTCACCTCACGTCCAACCGTCTCCTACCTAGGTCCAACTAGGGACCGTTTACGATCACATGCTTCAGATCTTACCATCTAAAGTGAAAAACGTTTTTTAAAGCTGGACAACAAGGAAAAAAAAAGGTCAAAATATAAGAAAAAATATGATTTATTAAACAGTTAAAGGTCAATTTACCTGAAAATCCATTTTAATGATTTTTTTCTGATTCTAACGGGTCGCTGACTGTTTCATGCAGGCTGAACATGAAAATTGTCTCCTACACCTATCTTAGCATTAGCTTCTGATGGAAAATAGACGGTTTCCAGGGTTCTGGTTCTACTGGGTATGTGTTCTGGACTCAGTGCAGTCACAGGTTGGGATTTAATGATCTCTGTAATCCTCCGAGTCGTTTACTCATGTAGACGACAGAAACGACAGCTCTGTGTGCTGGATGCAGAGCTTCACTTCACATCAAACATGTCCTCCTGCAGGTCAGAGATGTTCAGCCGGCAGAGATAGACCAACTAGAACCGACCCGATTCCAGCCGAGTTAACCTTAATCCCGATTCATCTCAGCTCCAGGAAAGGTTTTAATGTTTTTACTTCATTCTAGATCTTTGTGATGTTTTCTCAGATTTTTATTGTAATTTTAATCTTTTGCTGACCTTTTTTTTCCTCATGGTTTATTCCGTTATTTTTCTCAAGAACTTGGTCCTCCGTGATGTTAAAAGGAGATTTCTAGATAATTCCTTTAGTCTAATGACACCATCTAGTGGCTGACTAGCATTTCACACCCAACACTTCTGTATTCACGGCCAAAAGCAACGCCTCGTTCATGAATGCACTCCTCTATCAAGCAAAACACAGCTAAAATATGTTGTGTTATGTTGTGTTTTCATATATTTATATTTTAAAGACTTACCTGACCAAGGAATGTCGCCAACCTGCGCCAACCGAGGTACACCCCTGTGATGGGAGTCTGTACGTAAGCGGTAGTCTAACACTATTGGTTAGTGCTGACCAGTGCTCAGTTCATATCACATGGAGCTCTACGGAACAGGCGGTGGGCTCAAACAAAAAAAACGTGATCTGTACTGGACCCAGTTTAACACTGATTCTTTAAGCACTTCTGGAGGAAACAAGAACCGGGGTTTAACCACCGACATACAAAAATAAGGACATAGCCCGCCCATTGCCCCACCGGGGGCAAGTTGAAGCCAAAAATGGGAGGTTCCCACCACTGATTTCTGACCCAGTCGCACCCAGACAATCCAAAAACGGGAAAGGGTTGGAACAGAAGGTGGGGCTGTTATGTTAGAACAGGGTTGGAACAAATGAACCAGTGTAGCTACTAGCTAACTTAGCTAACCCAAGAAGCTAAGAAGAGCTCCGGGGACTGGGGTATCCTTTCCACACAGCCAACTGGCTCCTGTGTGAGGCTGTAGTCATGCTGGTCACCTGTGGAGATCTGATATGGACTGGGACTGTTAAATTACAAGCAGAGCCTCAGACCGCTGCGATCATATTGGGCTTCGTTGCCCCACCACTGTCAAAGATCCGCGAGTCCACTGTCAACGGTCTGGCTCTATGTTGGCATGGACCTGGGAGCCAAATGACCAAGCGGTGTTATGGTAAACGCATTGAATCTTCCCTCATTAGTGAGAAAAATGTGGTTGAGCGACTCAAAAGTGAAGCAGCATCAACTAAAAGAGCTACGGTGTTTCTGTGGTCTCCCTCAGAGATCCACAAATGACCAGCATGACTACAGCCTCGCATCGGAGCCGTCCCAGCTGTTCTGGGAAACGGGAACAGGAGAAGCTGGGCACCGCACAAGGATCTCATGCAGCCCCACTAATATGTTTGACCAAGCAGTTAAATTACCCCCCCCTTCAACCAGCAAAACAAAGTACAGAAATATAATTTTACTTGCTGATTAAAAAAAGAAGCAGAAACTGATTGGATGGTGTGTCAGTAACCACAGCGTGCCCTTTGGTCCAGCTGATCCCATGATTAACATCCAGACACACACACAGAGGACACAGCTAAAGTTCAGAGTCGAAATAACTGAACATCTATTATCGTGAGGCCGAGGCCTTTCTCCGAAGCTAGCTCTGAAGTCACGTGGCTCTGACGCTCATTAATTATTCAGATTTTTAAACATTAAACTCCATTTAAAAAAGAAGAGTTACAAAAAATGTTCTCCCCCTTCAAAGTTGTCATGGATGTAAACTAGATCTATTCAACCTAGAATGGTTTTTGATCCAGGCTGTAAACATGTTTATTTCTGCTGTGAATATACTTTTTTTAACATGGGAGTCAATGAGGTTTTGCTCATTTCTGCTGCCAGCCCCTAGTGGATGAGGGTGGAACTGCGATTTTTGCCACTTTCGTGTTGGCTTCATTTTCATCTCAGAATTTAAGTAAGTAAGTAAATTGTATTTATATAGCACTTACCACAGCCATAGAATCACAAAGTGCTTCACATAGATCTTAACAAAAGTCTAAGTCATAATCTTAAAACTAAATAGATTACAATCAGAAAAATTGTCCTAAAATTACAAAATTTCATAAAACTAAGGAAAGATTACAAATTTAAGTTAAATAAGAAAACAAAAGATTTTGGTAAAAGCAGCTTTAAATCAAATGGTCTTTAGCTGTATTTAAAACGTGTCTAGACTGTCAATGTGATGTGCAACAGTCTGGAAGGAGCGATCACCTCGGCTTTTGTATCGGGTTTTTGCATATTTTGCTGGTCACCCGTCTTTTCATGGCATCTAGAGTGAAGTGCTCCCATACTCGTGAGGTCTTTGTCCGGGTTTTCTCTTCAGTTTTGTCGCTTCTATTTTTCTTCTGTATCTCTTCTTGTTCCGCCATCTCTCACGGTGTGAGGGAAGCAAGATGTGCGTCATGAAAACGAGGGCACTTATTGCCTCGTTTCTTCTTCTACGGCTCCAATAGTAGATCGGTGGCTCATTACTGCCACACACTGGCGGCAAATTTAACAGACTGTAACCGATGTCAGATTGTGGTAAAAATAGACTTTATGCGGTAAAATGTGATTATTAAACAACTAATCGATGACAAAAAAAGTTGTTAACTATTTTAATAATCGAATGTAATCGATTAAATCGATAAGTTGTTTCAGCTCTATTTGGAACTTGTAGAAGGTTCTGGTGAGTGGACCAGGACCAACTGGAGGCAGTCATGGGCTTTTTGTCAAAACATGTGAAGAGTGTGTTACAGTAGTTGATGACTGAAAAAGCTGTTGAACATTTTGGACCCATGATCTGACCGTGTGGTTCTCCTTCTAGGCCGAGGAGCTGCAGTGGCCACATGGGGAGCAGGAGATTCCCACCTCTGTCTGCAGCCTTCCCTGTAAAGCCGGAGAGAGGAAGAAGGTGGTGAAGGGCATGCCTTGCTGCTGGCACTGTGAGCCATGTGACGGCTACCAGTACCGGTCCGATGAGTTCAGCTGCAAGCTCTGCACCTACAACATGAGGCCGAACGTCAACCGAACTGCATGCCAGTTCATCCCCATCACAAAGCTGGAGTGGCACTCCCCATGGGCAGTAATCCCAGTCTTTCTGGCCATGCTGGGGATCATTGCCACCATCTTTGTCATGGCAACGTTCGTACGGTACAACGACACGCCCATCGTCCGGGCATCCGGCAGGGAGCTGAGTTACGTCCTCCTGACTGGAATATTTCTGTGTTACATCATCACCTTCCTCATGATTGCCAAACCGGATGTGGGTGTGTGCTCGTTCCGGAGGATTTTCCTGGGTCTTGGAATGTGCATCAGTTATGCCGCCCTCCTCACTAAAACCAACCGCATCTACAGGATCTTCGAGCAGGGCAAGAAGTCAGTGACAGCACCGAGGCTGATCAGCCCCACCTCCCAGCTGGGCATCACCTTCAGCCTGATCTCTGTCCAGCTGCTGGGGGTTCTGATCTGGTTTGGGGTGGATCCCCCCAATATCATCATAGACTACGATGAGCACAGGACCATCAGCCCTGACCAGGCTCGAGGGGTGCTGAAATGTGACATCACGGATCTCCAGATCATCTGTTCTTTGGGTTACAGCATCTTACTGATGGTGACGTGTACTGTTTACGCCATAAAGACCCGCCGAGTCCCGGAGAACTTTAACGAGGCCAAGCCCATTGGGTTCACCATGTACACCACCTGCATCGTGTGGCTGGCCTTCATCCCCATCTTCTTTGGTACTGCTCAGTCTGCAGAAAAGGTAAGAGTTGGTTTCGTGTTGGCCAGTTTGAGCGTCTTGTTGGAGTTTTTGTCACTTTGAGGGTTTTTTTTCCAGCTCTGTTTTATAAAACATCCCTTTTGGGTTTTTTTTTTTTTTTTTTTTTTTTTGCTTTGTCAATCCACGAAGAACCGCCTGACCCTGGGAAGGTATGCTGAGCAGCACTAGTTACACTGGAGTCCAGTCAATGCTCTGTCCTGAAGTAGAGACAGTGTCCTTCAAAATGAGAAACCTCAATAATAAATACAACTCAGAAAAGCTAAGAGGTCAAGTTTTTCTCTGTGGATTGTCCGAACTCCAGCGATCTGATGGGCTGCTGTTAGCGTGTGCCGCGCCTCCGAACCACCGTGGTGAATTTTATAGTAGGATAAAAAAGACAACAGAAAACGTGACCCTTCAGGTCCTCAGCATCAAAGACTTAAAATAAAAAAGAGATTTATTTTATTGTTTGCTCTTTGTGGGATTTCTTTCAGAGCTTCCAAAGTTTGTCTTTGATCTTGTTTTTATTTTTGCCTCTGAGGGTTGTGTTTGTGTGTGTATGTGTGTGTGTGTGTGTATGTGTGTGTGTGTGTGTGTGTGTGTGTGTGTGTGTGTGCGTGTGCGTGCGCGTGCGCGTGCGCGTGCGTGTGTGTGCGTGTCATTCTCATTATAAAGTAAACAGCTGATTGAAACCACCACAGGCTGCTGTTTCCTGTTCCTGTGCTCGTTCCTGGCCTCTGACAGAAATCTAGTCTATCTTGAACTCCTGTTTTTTTCACACAGAAACATGTTTGTGTTTATTCTGTTCAGGATGCAGCAGAAGTTCAGTAAATAAAAACCTGTTTATCTTGTTGTCATCAGCTGGTTCTTCGAGGAGCTCCAGCTGCATGTAGGATTTGTGTTTTCGGGCGGGTCTGGGGTGGCGTGTTGACTTTTCTCTCTCCTGTTGGAGGATCTGAAAGACTTCGACTGCAGCAACAAGTGACTGGGTGAATATTTGAACGGCAGCCTCAGGCAGCAGAATATCTGGATCAGAATGCTGAGATCCGAGATGTTCTGTCAGGACAGAAAACAAAATGCTCCTCACACTCAAGCACTCAGAATCAGTCTGACAAAACCACTTTTCCTTCACAGCATTTCCTAATCGAAAATGATCAAAGAAACATCAGAACAAACACAGGAGCACCCAGGCACAAGCGGACAACAGATCAGCTGCAAAACAACCATGAAGACACGAAGAACGACCTGGAAACGATACAGAAAGACTCAGTTTGGTCCACATGTTGATCTGCTCTGGATCTATACAAAACGTGAATTACATGCTACAAAACAAAAGTTACCATTACAAAACTTGGTACAAGTTACATGTGATGTTGTCCCAATCCTAGTTCCATATGGATCCAGATGTTGACACAGCTTACAGCTCTTCTTCTGAGGACAAGTGATGGACAGCATTTGTCTCCTGGACATCCTAATGTTGTTTCTGTCCCACTGGTGATCTGATCAGCTGAGGAGCATGCTTCTCCAGATGAGTTCATCCTTACTGACTTCATGTTTTACAGCCTAACCTCCACCTAGGGCTGCTCGATTATGGCAAAAATAATAATCACGATTATGGTGACTGAAATTGAGATCACGATTATTTAGGACGATTTTTCAATTTATGTTGATTTTATTTGTTTTTATTCAGTCATAAAATTGCTCAGAGCACAATCAGGACAAAAATAAGAAACAAGATGATCACTAAAAGAACTCCTGATTCCCTGTATAAAAGACCAATATACTTATAGCTCATAGTCTATGACCCAAGGGCTGTAGACCTTGGTTTAACTCATTTAAGTCTAACCAGTACAGAACCAAATACCAAAATCTTGCAAATACTGACAGCAAGAATTATACAGTGGCATTTATAACAAATAAATGCAAATAAATTGATGTTCACAAAATGCTGCATAACATTTATTGAGTTGTGTCAAGGTGCTGTAGGAGAGTGCACTAGCACCGTGTCCTCAGAGAGATTAGTTATTATTTATCAGCGTGAGGAACTTATTTCTACCTTATTTACAAACTATTTATTTACAAGTCCATCAGTTAATGTAATAATTGTCCCAACCACAGCTGCACCCCCCACCCCCCAACCCGGTCTCACAGCAATCAGGGGCAAGCTGCACGTGTGTTTAGCACGCCGCACGCGCACATTTAGCTGTTTTTAGCGGCTCAGGAGTCCGCAGGTGCGGTGTGTGTGTCACTCACTCTGGTTACTCCAACAGGGAGCAGGGCGGCTCCGAGAGCTGTCTTTAGCGACCGACACATCACTACATCATTCCCTTTCCTAATGTCCTGAAGAACGGTCCGGAGTGCAGGCGGAGTGTTTAGCTAACCTGCAGGAAACGTCGACGATAGTTATCCAGAAAGTAGCTAAGGGTTACCAGAGATGTTTCTGAGGTGTTCGCTAGGTAGTAGGTACTTTTAGGATTAAAAAGTCAAGAAGGGGGTCTGAAAAGCTGTTAGAAATAGCGTCAAAGTCACTAAGTTGGCAACACTGTGGAGGAGCGCTTCATTTGCAACTCAGGGCAGCGCAAGCGGGAGGAGCAAATAATCGGCTTGTTTTGTTTTTTATAATCGTTCAAAACTCAGATCGTAATCGTGATTAAAATTCGATTAATTGAGCAGCCCTACCTCCACCCCTGACTTCTGACTGATTTAAGCCATCTTCCAGTGAAAAGCAGAGTAATAGGATGGAATACGTTGAGGCTTTTGCCTGACAAACATAAATCCTGTGAAGGTAGCGGCTGTTCCCAGGTCAGCAGCTTATTTACAGCCTTTAGGGCTGACTTGTAACGTGTGATCCGGGCCACAGATATAAATCGGACTGCTTGTCTTCTGCAACCGAGAGACGAAGGTTTCTGCTGTTCTAAAAGGACACTCAGACCTCGGTTGAGGAGGTGGAAGTTGTAAATGGCAGCCAGGAACTCTGACCTCTGAATCATTCTCCTAACTCAAAGGATGAGCCAGACGGGTGGACACATAAGGTCCAGTTCACACAGCTGGATTCTGAAACACGAAGGAGGGGGCGCTTCGACTCACGTGCTAATGCCACAAAGCACTATGGGATTTGTAGTCTTTGCAGCCAAATGGGCCAGCGGGTCAGTTTTAATATATATTTGATATTTGACCTTGCAGGTCAAGTAAAAATAGATTGCCGGCCAAATTCTCCTGAGGCCCTGAGCTTGACACCTGTGACCTACACGATGGGATCAGCTGCCTGTCAATAGGCCAAGCTCCTCACTTGGGGTTGTAAATCTCTTCCATTCACTGAGGTTGTTGTTTCTACACTCTTGTTTGTTTTACGCAGTTTTATTTATTTCACGTTTGCTTTCAGTTTTTTTTTTTCTTTTAACTGATTTACTTTTATCTGTACAACACTCTGGTCGACAGAGTTGTCTATAAAGTGCTACGTAAATACAATTAGAATGTAGTGTGTGTGTGTGTGTGTGTGTGTGTGTGTGTGTGTGTGTGTGTGTGTGTGTGTGTGTGTGTGTGTGTGTGTGTGTGTGTGTGTGTGTGTGTGTGTGTGTGTTTACACCGGGAAAGCATCACTTCGTCATTTCAGACTCTGATAAACAACCGGTCCTTAAAACTTGAACTCTTCCGCGTCGACTTTTTCATCGTCTCGATCTCTCCGTCGAGTCTACATCCATCTTTCACTCCTCGAGTCTTTTTGCTCTCATTCATCATTTAGAGCACTGCTCTCTGTCTCATCCTATTTAACCTTTTCTCACAGCTCATCCTCCATCTTCCTCCCTCTGTTTCAATTTCCTCACCTCCCTGCATCCATTTACTTCTTACTATTTTCTACTTTTCTTATTTCACAGCAGTGATTCGGGGATTGCGAGTAGAAACAAGTCTCTGGTGGTGGGCATTGGGTTTTGCAGCATAAATGTGTCGGGCTGTTCTGTGATTGGACAAAAAGAGTGACATCACATGTACGAATTGCACTACCTATAAAGTAGAGATATCCCGATCCCGATCCCTGTCCGATATTTTTCCATATTTTTCAGTGATTGGAGATCGGCTATTACAACTGACGAGTCTTGCCGATCTCCCAAAATAGACTATGAGCACGTTAGCACATGCTACTTCGGGGGTGGGGGGGTGGGGGTGGGGAGTCCTCTAGAGGGCTCCTTTTCCTTTGTGATAGTCTTGCCCGGTTTATGGTCGGGTTTTCCAGTTCAATAATCAGTAAAAAAAAAGAAAACCGCTTCCTCTCCTGAGATTACGTTCTGCTCTGCTGTGTCTTTGGTTCTCTGTAATTCTGGAGGCAGAATCAACATTTCCCGTGGAGAAGTTAGCTGCTACAGAGGGCTAGCATTAGCTGCACTCACCTTAAGAGCATTCAAACACGCACAGAAGAAAAAGCAAAGAATAAAAGAGCAACCAAACAAGAGCTGCTGTTACTGGCTGCAGCCCACCTCATGCTTTCTTAACCAAACACAATCTGTCCTTTTTGTACTTTGGACTCCATCTTCACAGTAGTGTCACCGCTAAATAAAGCTACCGGAAATCTAGCATTCTACATCTGGTCTCAAAACAGGAAGTTGGTTTGATGGGATTCACAACAGTAATGGTAATGCTCATAATTCTAATAAGTCTTAGAAAGTTAACTTGAGTTACTTGCTAAAAATATATTTCAGTTTTATAAATTTCATTAGTAAAGACAAACTATCAGATCAGGACTCAAAATTGGATTGGATTTGAAGTTAAAAGATTGGATTGGGAGGCTAGAATGATGATCGGGACATCCCTACTTTAAAGGATTCTATGAAGAAGACAAGAGGAAATAAATGTCTTGTACATTAAAGGTGCAGTATGTAAGAATGTAGTGAGAATTTTACAGTGAGAAAATCCCAAAAGAGTCTGATGTTTCAGTCATTTTGGAAGTAAGGTTTTACTGGAACATGTTTCATATCCAGCTGGCTGCTGGGATGCCAGTTCTTCTCTTC